TGCACCGGGACAGGTTAGCCCCATATGGAGGGGCCTCTTCGCCCCCAGAAACCCTGGGGACCTTAACCACCTGTGTCACTGATAGGTTCCCCAGAGCCACAGGCTGTGTCCCCTGTGGCCCCATCCTTTCCCCCCTGTCCCTGTCCCTGCCCTCATCCCCTGTGCCCCAGAGGGACAGCCCCCTGCCACAGATTGAACTCCCTTTGCCACGAGTGGACACTCTGTCCCCATCACGCCTGCGCAGACAAAGGAGACCTCCGGGTCGCTTCCGGAATTTTGTTTGTTCCCCATCCTGGTCAGTTATGTGTAAATGTTTATGGGTTTTGCAGGGTTTCGCAGGGTCCAGCATGCCAGTCACCCTGCTGTCTGCCAATCAAGGGAATACCTGGAATGTTTCAGTGCCAGGCGTCCTTGTGGTTGGTGGACAGTGACTCAAGAACTGTTGTGGACATTCGCTCATTTATGGTTTATTCTCAGTCATTAAAATACATTTGTATTTTATTTTAAGTATATTTCTTTAAACATAGCCTACACGATACATTTCAACATACCAGTATCTGTGTAAACTTTAAAAATAAATGCTGGTATAAATAAAATGTAAAATGCTGTGAAAAACAATTGTACTGCAAAACTGTAATATCTTATATCTTATGTTTCACCGAGTCGGGGTTGAACGACGACATGGATAACATACAGCTGGCGGGATATACGCTACATCGGCAGGATAGAACGTCTGACTCCGGTAAGACAAGGGGTGGTGGTCTGTGTATATTTGTAAACAACAGCTGTTGCACAAAATCTAACATTAAGGAAGTCTCAAGGTTTTGCTCACCTGAGGTAGAGTATCTCATGATAAGCTGTTGACCACACTATTTACCAAGAGAGTTTCCATCTATATTTTTCGTAGCTGTCTATTTACCACTACAAACCGATGCTGGCACTAAGACTGCACTCAATGAGCTGTATAAGGCCATAAGCAAACAGGAAAATGCTCATCCAGAGGCAGCGCTCCTAGTGGCCGGGGACTTTAATGCAGGGAAACTTAAATCCGTTCTACCTAATTTCTACCAGCATGTTAAATGTGCAACCAGAGGGAAAAAAAACTCTAGACAAAGCTCTCCCTCGCCCTCCATTTGGCAAATCTGACCATAATTCTATCCTCCTGATTCCTGCTTTTAAGCAAAAACTAAAGCAGGAAGCACAATTGACTCGGTTAATAAGGAAGTGGTCAGATAACGCAGATGTTAAGCTACAGGACTGTTTTGCTAGCACAGACTGGAATATGTTCCGTGATTCTTCCGATGGCATTGACGAGTACACCACATCAGTCACTGGCTTCATCAATAAGTGCACCGATGACCTCATCCCCACAGTGACTGTACGTACATACCCCAACCAGAAGCCATGGATTAGAGGCAAAATCCACAATGAGGTAAAGGGCTGCCGCTTTCAAGGAGCGGGGCTCTAACCCGGACGCTTACAAAAAATCCTGCTATGCCCACCGACAAACCATCAAACAGGCAAAGAGTCAATACAGGACTAAGATTGAATCGTACTACACCGGCTCCGACGCTCGTCGGATGTGGCAGGGCTTGCAAACTATTACAGACTACAAAGGGAAGCACAGCCGCGAGCTGCCCAGTGACACAAGCCTACCAGATTAGCTAAATCACTTCTATGCTCTCTTCGAGGCAAGCAACACTGAAGCATGCATGAGAGCATCAGCTGTTCTGGATGACTATGTGATCACGCTTTACGTAGCCAATGTCAGTAAGACTTTTAAAAAGGTCAACATTCACAAGGCCATAGGGCCAGACGGATTACCAGGATGTGTACTCTGATCATGCGGTGACCAACTGGCAAGTGTCTTCACTGACATTTTCAACATGTCCCTGACTGAGTCTGTAATACCAACATGTTTCAAGCAGACCACCATAGTCCCTGTGCCCAAGAACACTAAGATAACCTGCCTAAATGACTACCGACCCGTAGCTCTCATGTCTGTAGCCATGAAGAGCTTTGAAAGGCTGGTCATGGCTCACATCAACACCATTATCCCAGAAACCCTAGACCCACTCCAATTTGCATACCGCCCCAACAGATCCACAGATGATGCAATCTCTATTGCACTCCACACTGCCCTTTCCCACCTGGACAAGAGGAACACCTACGTGAGAATGCTATTCATTGACTACAGCTCAGCGTTCAACACCATAGTGCCCTCAAAGCTCATCACTAAGCTAAGGACCCTGAGACTAAACACCTCCCTCTGCAACTGGATCCTGGACTTCCTGACGGGCCGCCCCCCCAGGTGGTAAGGGTAGGTAACAACACATCTGCCACGCTGATCCTCAACACAGGGGCCCCTCAGGGGTGCGTGCTCAGTCCCCTCCTGTACTCCCTGTTCACCCATGACTGCATGGCCAGGCACGACTCCAACACCATCATTAAGTTTGCAGATGACACAACAGTGGTAGGCCTGATCACCGACAATGATGAGACAGCCTATAGGGAGGAGGTCAGAGACCTGTCCGTGTGGTGCCAGGATAACAACCTCTCCCTCAATGTGATCAAGACAAAGGAGATGATTGTGAACTACAGGGAAAAAAGAGGACTGAGCACGCCCCCATTATCATCGACGGGGCTGTAGTGGAACAGGTTGAGAGCTTCAAGTTCCTTGGTGTCCACATCACCAACAAACTATCATGGTCCAAACACACCAAGACAGTTGTGAAGAGGGCACGACAAAGCCTATTCGCCCTCAGACTGAAAAGATCTGGCATGGGTCCTCAGATCCTCAAAAAGTTATACAGCTGCACCATCGAGAGCATCCTGACTGGTTGCATCACTGCCTGGTATGGCAACTGCTCGGCCTCCAACCGCAAGGCACTACAGAGGGTAGTGTGTAAGGCCCAGTACATCCAGGCTCTGTCGTAGCTGGCCGTGACCGGGAGACCCATGGGGCAGCGCACAATTGGCCCAGCGTCGTCCAGGGTAGGGGAGGGAATGGCCGGCAGGGATGTAGCTCAGTTGGTAGAGCATGGCGTTTGCAACGCCAGGGTTGTGGGTTCGATTCCCACGGGGGGCCAGTATGAAAAATTAAAAAAATAATGTATGCACTCACTAACTGTAAGTCGCTCTGGATAAGAGCTTCCTGCCATCCAGGACCTCTATACCAGGTGGTGTCAGAGGAGGCCCTAAAGATTGTCACAGACTCCAGCCTCCCTAGTCATAGACTGTTCTCTCTGCTACCGCACGGCAAGCGGTACCGGAGCACCAAGTCTAGGTCCAAAAGGCTTCTTTACAGCTTCTACCCCCAAGCCATAAGACTCCTGAACAGCTCTACCCGGATTATTTGCATTGTCCCCCCACCCCAACACCCTCTTTTACGCTGCTGCTATTCTCTGTTTATTATCTGTGCATAGTCACTTTAACTCTACCCACATGTACATATTACCTCAATTACATCGACTAACCTGTGCCCCCGCACATTGACTCTGTACCGGTACCCCCTGTATATAGCCTCCCTACTGTTATTTTATTTTACTGCTGCTCTTTAATTATTTTTTATTTTATTTTTTACTTATCTATTTTTTACTTAACACAAATTTTTGTGGGTCTACACCTGTTATATTCGGCGCATGTGGCAAATACAATTTGATTTGATTTTTAGAGCGCAAATGAAAACTCGATATTCCCAAAATGTAGCATGTCTTTGCTGGGAACTCTTATTTTGAAAATATAAAATCCGCGATCATGCTGCCAGCAGGATATCCTGCTGCTAGGAGAACGGTAATAACTGTACCGCAGTGAAGAACTGGACAAAACAACAAGACACTGGTACAAGGATCACACCACTTTTCCCCGGATAGCTAGCTAGATATGTTTTCATTTCCATGATTGAGACTGTTCTGATCAGTCAGTATTGAGGAGCAGCCTGACATAAAGTACTGTAACTTTCAGATCGCTAGCGATAATCTTAGAACATTAGCTATCCGTGCCGTGGTAAATCAAATTCGTGTTTGTTGGTGTTAGCAGCACACCTGATGTTACCTAGCTAACGTCAGATTATCTAGCCAAAAGCGAAGTAAACTAGCTAACTACCTGAGTTATTAAGGGAAATAATATTTTTGTCCACAGGACCGAATGTGTTATTTTTGTCCCCAAGCATTGATTCCAATATTTTTAACGTGTTTTAGGTGTTTGTTAACTTAACGTTATCTGGCTACGTTGCTAGCCATTTACGTATAAACTAGTTTGCTACTGTAGTTATCACTGACGAGTAACGTTAGCTAGCTACTGTATTTGTGTTGTGTATACAGGCACCACCATATCTAAACGTTGATCGTAGAAACTATTATACTGTGAAAATGTTTTCGTTTATTTGGACTGGTGTTGGAATAATTTATTATAATGCAATTAATCGAAAAAAGATTGCAGTCAGAGTGCAGTATAATTAAGCAATAAGGCCTGAGGAGGTGTGGTATATGACTAATATACCACGGCAAAGGGCTGTTCTTACATACACGACGCAACGCTGAGTGACTGGATACAGCCCTTAGCCACGGTATATTGGCCATATATCACAAACCCCCGTCGGTGCCTTATTGCTATTATAAACTGGTTACCAACGTAATTAGAGGAGTAAAAACAAATGTTTTGTCATACCTGTGGTATACGGTCTGGTATACCACGGCTGTCAGCCAATCAGCATTCAGGGCTCGAACCACCCAGTTTTTTTTTTTTTACTGTAGTAATTTTGCAGTGTAACTGCAGTTACAGTGCAGTATAACTGCAATACACTGCAGTTATTCTGCAATTACTGTGCCAAAAATACCACAGTCGACTTCAGTTACTGCACTTTTACTGCAGTTTCAAAACTACAATCTTTTTGAAAGGGATTAATCGATTTATGAGATTTGCCTTTTTCACTCCTCAGGCTGAACTTCCCAGCTACCTGGCCCTACTCATCCCATTCTCCAGACAGACAGTGAGGCAGGATGCTGGGTCTGTGGTGCGTGGGTGCCCGACTGGGCATTCTCACTCTGGTGCTGTGCTGCACACTGGCTCCCTTACCTGCACACGCATACATCTATGCTGTGAGTTCTCGTGATTGTAGAACTGTGTGATCAAGTTTGTTATGGATTTACACGTGATCTTAGATATTTGCCATTGCATTTGTCATAAAAAACTGCAGTTTACAGTCCCTGTGCGCTGGCATTGATTTTAACGTTTGTGTCTTTTTGTCTGGTAGCATTACAGCAATATGACCAACATGTTGTTTGAGGACCTGTCTGCCTTGTTTGGATCATCACTACCCAAAGAGGGACTTATGGTGAGAGGAGGGGGATGGAAAAGTGCATACAGGAGCAACATGCCCTTTCATCCCATGCATAAATCAGCTAAAATTACCTCCTTTTCTTTCTCTTTGTCTTCAAGGGTGTGTTAGTAGAGTCCCGTCCACTCAACGGCTGCACTCCGATAAAACCTCCACCATCACGGCCCACATCTAGTGATCCCAACACTACCACTACTAAGTACATAGTCCTCATCCGACGCTATGACTGCAATTTTGATATCAAGGTTAGTGTGTGTCGCTATGCTGTTGGGTTGCTTAGGATATATGGTGTTATTCAATTTGAATTCAACCTATTTATTTATTGCAACATATTCAGTTTAAAATCACACCGCGCATAGTGTTTACAATTATTTCAGTGTGAATTATGATTTTGTATTTAATGCAGGTGCTGCATGCACAGCAAGCTGGATTCAGTGCAGCCATCGTTCACAACATGTACTCAGAGACTCTACTCAACATGAACTACAGCAATGGTGAGGTTCCTGAAATCGTTTTCACCTTCTCTAAGCTGCCTTTTTCCATTTCTTACAGAATCAGTTCCGTTAGTTTAATTCCCCTTAACCAGGTTGACTGATTTGTGTTCTCACTCCTCAAAACCTCAAGTAGTCTTTAACTAGTATGATCCTCCCAGGAAGTAAATACTTTGGTAATGCTGAGTGGCAGTGTTCCCCTTTTTGTTTGTTTGTGTGTGTAGAAACCATTGCAGAGGAGATTGAGATCCCCTCAGTATTCACCAGCTACTACGCCTCGCAAATTCTCAGGACCTTCATCATTCCTGAACAAGGGTGATTTCCATTGATGTTCTATTATTTTTGTCAAGATCAACTTCCATGACAACCTGTTAATTAGTGACATCACAGAGGTTCCTTCTAGCGCTATTCACAATGTTAAATGGGGGTACGACTTAACTATCTGCTGTGAGTTATGGTTGCTAATGTAACCATTCAACATGGGCTTGTATTGGCTCTTTGGTAATGGTCTTGCACCGTAATGAAGACGGGACCTTTATTGATTAGAGTTACACTGAGATTCAGTCATATTCTTCACAACATCTTTGCACTCATCATGATGTCAGCCCTGCTGAGTGTCTGGTCCTATGTGGATGTCATCACCATGTTGGAGATTGTGTTGAGTCTGGCAGTGCTGTCCCTTTTAGTCATGGAGATTTATGATCCGGAGGTGGACGCTTTTCTGAACAATGCCCCCATACAAAAGCTGATGGTGCTGTATTTGGTATGCAGGGCCTATGTGATCCTCAAGCCGGAATTTGCCTTCCCACTCTCGTACTATCTCATCCCCTTCACCGGAGTGGTGGGCATGATCATCCTTGTGATGGTTGTCTTCCTGGTAAGTGCCCTTGGGGAACAGCCTCATTTTGTTATGAATGTGGAATTAATTTCACAATTGAATAGTTATTGATTTCATAGCTACATCATAAATCATTTTTTCCACCCAGATATTGAAAGCCCTATGACTGTCATCCTTAGGTGTTGGTGTGGCACTGGCTATGTTCGAAATCTGTCTTGCCTTCTACTTACTAAAACTGCATACTGTGTTCTAATCGTATGACATACTATTTAGAATGTATTGTTTAGTTAAATCGAATTCAGTAAGCTACAAATATCAACATACTAGGCTCATCCATACTGAGAATGCGTCATCTAATGTGCAATTGCGTTTATTCCCACCATTTGTTCATTTTTGTACAGGGCTTGAATCTATCTGATAATTAGTTGTTGTCAAACACACGTGGGTCTTGAAAAAGTATTATCTTCCTCAATAGTGTGCAGCGAATTCTACTAGATGATAAGCCAAAATGTAGAATGACATCCTGGCATTTAAAGCATACTCAATTTTCACATACTATAAAACGTTCAATGTTCGCATACCCAAATTGCCTACTATTTAGAACTTAAGTATGGGTATCTGGACACAGCCTCTGTGTCTCTTCATTCCCTGCCTTGTCTTGGTTTAGATTGTGCGTTGTGTGCAGTACAGGAAAAGGATGAGGAAAAATAAGCTGACCAAGGAACAACTAAAGAGGATCCCCATTCACAAGTTCACTAAAGGTAACGAGAGGGAGTGTCCCACCACACATTCAAATGAGAATCAGTCACCAGTATAACTGGTCAAACACATTCTGGAACAGCAGTACTCTATTTCTTCTCTAGAATGTTGAGAAACCTGAATAACAAAAAGAACAATCTGATTGTCTGCTCCTGTTATCATTACATTACAGTTAGCATTACAATGCATTTACACATACAGTGGGGAGAACAAGTATTTGATACACTGCCGATTTTGCAGGTTTTCCTACTTACAAAGCATGTAGAGGTCTGTAATTTGTATCATAGGTACACTTCAACTGTGAGAGACGGAATCTAAAACAAAAATCCAGAAAATCACATTGTATGATTTTTAAGTAATACATTTGCATTTTATTGCATGACATAAGTATTTGATCACCTACCAACCAGTAAGAATTCCGGCTCTCACATACCTATTAGTGTTTCTTTAAGAAGCCCTCCTGTTCTCCACTCATTACCTGTATTAACTGCACCTGTTTGAACTCGTTACCTGTATAAAAGACACCTGTCCACACACTCAATCAAACAGACTCCAACCTCTCCACAATGGCCAAGACCAGAGAGCTGTGTAAGGACATCAGGGATAAAATTGTAGACCTGCACAAGGCTGTGATGGGCTACAGGACTATAGGCAAGCAGCTTGGTGAGAAGGCAACAACTGTTGGCACAATTATTAGAAAATGAAAGAAGTTCAAGATGACGGTCAATCACCCTCGGTCTGGGGCTCCATGCAAGATCTCACCTCATGCTTTGTAAGGAGGAAAACCTGCAAAATCGGCAGTGTATCAAATACTTGTTCTCCCCACTGTACATGTGAATCTTATTATTTTTCTAGGTGATGAATATGATGTTTGTGCTATTTGTCTGGATGAGTATGAAGAGGGAGACAAACTGCGAGTTTTGCCTTGCTCACACGGTAATTATAAGTTATAATGTTTGTCACTGTAACTCGCATATGTTTTTCTCACAGTTCCAAGGTCATATGGTTGCAGTAACTGTTTTATTTCTGTCATCTCTTCAGCGTACCACAGCAAGTGTGTGGATCCCTGGCTTACAGGGACTAAGAAAACTTGCCCTGTGTGCAAACAACGTGTAACCCGGCCCAATCCGGAGTACTCTGAGTCCGAGTCTGAGGATGAGAGGGCAAGTGGTCGAGACGAAGAGGGGGGGGAGGGCGAAGCTGACACCGAGCGCACCCCTCTGCTCCGCCCCTCCAACCCAGGCTTCCCCTCTGGCAATCCAGGGGCCTATTCTGCCACTGTCACTACAGTAACCACCGCCCAGTGCCTAGGCTCTCCCACTCACTATGACTCGCCCATCCTGGAATATGAGGGCTACTACTCCCCTCAGGAGGAGTCAGACTCTGATACTGAGGAGGGAGGGGTGGACTCCCACCCCTCAGACGATGACACTGCCCAGCTCATTGGTAGGGGCACAGTGGGGGTCTGAGAGCCTGGAGGCAGCTGAGATTAAATTACTTTGTGCTAGCTGAAAAGATCCAGTCTTGTCACCCAGTGTGTTTTTATCACACTAAAAAGTTTAACTGGTTTATGGAGCTGTGGCTCAGCCATAGACTTTCTAGAACACTATTGTCACTTAGATTTTTACATATTTTATCAATGTTGCTAGCTCTAAGATGTTAATATGAAGCCAAGATTCTGCTACATTTTAGCAGTCCTTTTTAAACCTGTCTAAAACATGAGGCACATATTGATAAGTACAGTAAATCAGTTAAACAGAGACGAAGAGGGGGGGGGAGGGCGAAGCTGACACCGAGCGCACCCCTCGGCACCTTCCGGAGACATTTGAAACCCCACCTCTTTAAGGAATACCTGGGATAGGATAAAGTAATCCTTCTACCCCCCCCCCCCCCCCCCCCCCCCCCAAAAAAAATAACATTGTAAAGTGGTTATCCCACTGGCTATAAGGTGAATGCACCAATTTGTAAGTCGCTCTGGATAAGACTGTCTGCTAAATGACGTAAATGTAAATGTAAACATTTTGCTTTGTCTGTGCCAGTGCACTCTAACCTCCCACCCCCCCTCCTAAACTTTATATTTTTGCAAAATGATTCGACTGCCAGGTAGTCTCAATCTTAAAGGGAAATATCATAATTTTTCAACTTCATATTCTTCATCTCAAGCACCACCCCAACATCAACATATGTGAAAATTGCGCGTTTCTATGTTTTGTAGTAAGAAAGATAGGTGTTTCCAGTGACATCATCAGTGTGCATCGTGTAATTTTAACCAATTATGAGTAGTTATTGCCTACTAATTGTCTACTAATTGGTTGATGATGTAATTGGAAACGCTTATCTTCCTCTATCTTTTTTACTACAAAACATAGAAACGTGCCATTTTCACATACTGTATGTTGATGTTGGGGTGGTGCTGGTGATGATGAATATGAAGTTGAATCTTTTTGAAATTTCCCTTTAACTGTAGGTATTTGGTTGAAGAAATCCTGTCAATGTACTACTTGACAATTGACATACCCCAAATTCTTATTTTCAGTGAACATACCAGGAGATAACCCACCTGAGATGACTGTGTAAAATCAATGTAGCATGTTAAACTTGGACAGTGGATTTTTTTGGTAGTGATTGAGTAGAGACTCAACTCATTCACCAGTTGAAAGGAAACTACAGTGCTGCTGTCTCACTAATAAGATCTCTTCCCCATGCTAGTAGTATACAGTAACCTGTATGCATCTCTGTAACTGGTTTCTTTCATGATATTGTGGGTAAGTGGGAGTATAATTTACTCTATGGGGAGTTTCTCTCACTGTTTTATGGAGTTTTTTTCTTTCTCTGATGGATCTGTTGGACTGTTAATTTGCCCTGGACCAGTAATCAGGGCATGTCAAAGGAGAATATATATATTTGTAAACTTCACTGTAATACGTTTTTATTGTCCAGCATCGTTTCTTTTAACTACTTTTACTCCTTTTAAAAGGTCCGAATTTGTCCAGTGTAATTTTATTTAAACCTCTTCTATAAAAAAAAAAAATCTGAGTTCTTAATTTGTAATGTTTTCTCTCTGTTTATTTTTGGCATAACTGGGCCTGTGATATTGTTTATATATATATATATATATATACAGTGGGGAGAACAAGTATTTGATACACTGCCGAATTTGCAGGTTTTCCTACTTACAAAGCATGTAGAGGTCTGTAATTTTTATCATAGGTACACTTCAACTGTGAGAGACGGAATCTAAAACAAAAATCCAGAAAATCACATTGTATGATTTTTAAGTAATACATTTGCATTTTATTGCATGACATAAGTATTTGATCACCTACCAACCAGTAAGAATTCCGGCTCTCACATACCTATTAGTGTTTCTTTAAGAAGCCCTCCTGTTCTCCACTCATTACCTGTATTAACTGCACCTGTTTGAACTCGTTACCTGTATAAAAGACACCTGTCCACACACTCAATCAAACAGACTCCAACCTCTCCACAATGGCCAAGACCAGAGAGCTGTGTAAGGACATCAGGGATAAAATTGTAGACCTGCACAAGGCTGGGATGGGCTACAGGACAATAGGCAAGCAGCTTGGTGAGAAGGCAACAACTGTTGGCGCAATTATTAGAAAATGGAAGAAGTTCAAGATGACGGTCAATCACCCTCGGTCTGGGGCTCCATGCAAGATCTCACCTCGTGGGGCATCAATGATCATGAGGAAGGTGAGGGATCAGCCCAGAACTACACGGCAAGACCTGGTCAATGACCTGAAGAGAGCTGGGACCACAGTCTCAAATAAAACCATTAGTAACACACTACGCCGTCATGGATTAAAATCCTGCAGCGCACTCAAGGTCCCCCTGCTCAAGCCAGCGCATTTCCAGGCCCGTCTGAAGTTTGCCAATGACCATCTGGATGATCCAGAGGAGGAATGGGAGAAGGTCATGTGGTCTGATGAGACAAAAATAGAGCTTTTTGGTCTAAACTCCACTCGCCGTGTTTGGAGGAAGAAGAAGGAGGAGTACAACCCCAAGAACACCATCCCAACCGTGAAGCATGGAGGTGTAAACATCATTCTTTGGGGATGCTTTTCTGCAAAGGGGACAGGACGACTGCACCGTATTGAGGGGAGGATGGATGGGGCCATGTATCGCAAGATCTTGGCCAACAACCTCCTTCCCTCAGTAAGACCATTGAAGATGGGTCGTGGCTGGGTCTTCCAGCATGACAACGACCTGAAACACACAGCCAGGGCAACTAAGGAGTGGCTCCGTAAGAAGCATCTCAAGGTCCTGGAGTGGCCTAGCCAATCTCCAAACCTGAACCCAATAGAAAATCTTTGGAGGGAGCTGAAATTCTGTATTGCCCAGCGACAGCCCCGAAACCTGAAGGATCTGGAGAAGGTCTGTATGGAGGAGTGGGCCAAAATCCATGCTGCAGTGTGTGCAAACCTGGTCAAGACCTACAGAAAATGTATGATCTCTGTAATTGCAAACAAAGGTTTCTGTCCCAAATATTAAGTTCTGCTTTTCTGATGTATCAAATACTTATGTCATGCAATAAAATGCAAATTAATTACTTAAAAATCATACAATGTGATTTTCTGGATTTTTGTTTTAGATTCCGTCTCTCACAGTTGAAGTGTACCTATGATAAAAATTACAGACCTCTACATGCTTTGTAAGTAGGAAAACCTGCAAAATCGGTAGTGTATCAAATACTTGTTCTCCCCACTGTATATATATATATATATACTACCGTTCAAAGGTTTGGGGTCACTTAGAAATGTCCTTGTTTTCCATGAAAACATACATGAAATAAGTTTGAATAAGAAATATAGCAAAATGCATAGGAAATGTAGTCATTGACAAGGTTAGAAATAATGATTTTTAATAGAAATAATAATTGTGTCCTTCAAACTTTGCTTTCGTCAAAGAATCCTCAATTTGCAGCAATTACAGCCTTGCAGACCTTTGTCATTCTAGTTGTCAATTTGTTGAGGTAATCTGAAGAGATTTCACCCCATGCTTCCTGAAGCACCTCCCACAAGTTGGATTGGCTTGATGGGAACTTCTTACGTACCATACGGTCAAGCTGCTCCCACAACAGCTCAATAGGGTTGAGATCCGGTGACTGTGCTGGCCACTCCATTATAGACAGAATACCAGCTGACTGCTTTTTACCTAAATAGTTATTGCATAGTTTTGAGCTGTGCTTTGGGTCATTGTCCTGTTGTAGGAGGAAATTGGCTCCAATCAAGCGCCGTCCACAGGGTATGGCGTTGCAAAATGGAGTGATAGCCTTCCTTCTTCAAGATCCCTTTTACCCTGTACAAATCTCCCACTTTACCCCCACCACCAAAGCACCCCCAGACCATCACATTGCTTCCACCATGCTTGACAGATGGCATCAAGCACTCCTCCAGCATCTTTTGATTTGGTCTGCGTCTCACAAATGTTCTTCTTTGTGATCCGAACACCTCGAACTTCGATTCGTCTGTCCATAACACTTTTTTCCAATCTTCCTCTGTCCAGTGTCTGTGTTCTTTTGCCCATCTTAATTTTTTATTTTTATTGGCCAGTCTGAGATATGTTTTTTTCTTTGCAACTCTGCCTAGAAGGTCAGCATCCCGTAGTCGCCTCTTCACTGTTGACGTTGAGACTGGTGTTTTGCGGGTACTATTTAATGAAGCTGCCAGTTGAGGACCTGTGAGGCATCTGTTTCTCAAACTAGACACTCTAATGAATTTGTCCTCTTGCTCAGTTGTGCACTGGGGCCTCCCACTCCTCTTTCTATTCTGGTTAGAGCCAGTTTGCGCTGTTCTGTGAAGGGAGGAGTACACAGCGTTGTACAAGATCTTCAGTTTCTTGCCAATTTCTCGCATGGAATAGCCTTCATTTCTCAGAACAAGAATAGACTGACGAGTTTCAGAAGAAAGTTCTTTGTTTCTGGCCATTTTGAGCCTGTAATCAAACCCACAATTGCTGATGCTCCAGATACTCAACTAGTCTCAAGAAGGCCAATTGTATTGCTTCTTTAATCAGCACAACAGTTTTCAGCTGTGCTAACATAATTGAAAAAGTGTTTTCTAATTATCAATTAGCCTTTTAAAGTGATAAACTTCGATTAGCAAACACAACGTGCCATTGGAACACAGGACTGATGGTTGCTGATAATGGGCCTCTGTACATCTATGTAGATATTCCATAAAAAATCTGCCGTTTCCAGCTACAATAGCCATTTACAACATTAACAATGTCTACACTGTATTTCTGATCAATTTGATGTTATTTTAATGGACAAAAAATTTGCTTTTCTTTTGAAAACAAGGACATTTCTAAGTGACCCCAAACTTTTGAACGGTAGTGTGTGTGTATATATATACAGTGGGGAGAACAAGTATTTGATACACTGCCGATGTTGCAGGTTTTCCTACTTACAAAGCATGTAGAGGTCTGTAATTTTTATCATAGGTAC